CCAAAGGCAAGGGAAGCAAGGGCAAAAATGAACTATTGGGACTTCATCAAGATAAAAAGCTTTTGCACAGCAAAACAAAACAGTCAACAAAAGCAAAAGACAAGCGACAGAATGGGAGAAAATATTTGCAAATGACATGTCAGATAAAGGACTAGTATCCAAAATCTATAAAGTTCTTAAACTCAACACCCAAAGAACAAATGATCCAATCAAGAAATGGGCAGAAGACATGAAGACACATTTTTCCAAAGAAGACATCCAAATGGCCAACAGACACATGAAAAAGTGCTCAACATCGCTCGGCATCAGGGAAATCCAAATCAAAACCTCAATGAGATAACACCTCACACCAGTCAGAATGGCTAAAATTAACAAGTCAGGGAACGAGAGATGTTGGAAGGGATGTGGAGAAAGGGGAACCCTTCTACACTGTTGGTGGGAATGCAAGCTGGTGCAGCCACTCTAAAAAGAGTATGGAGGTTCCTCAAAAAGGTGAAAATAGAGCTACCCTACAATCCAGCAATTGTACTACTGGTTATTTACCCCAAAGATACAAATGTAGGGATCCGAAGGGGTACGTGCACCCTGATGTTTATAGCAGCAATGTCCACAACAACCAAACTGTGGAAAGAGCCAAGATGTCCATCGACAGATGAATGGATAAAGAAGATGTGGTATATATACACAATGGAATATTATGCAGCCATCAAAAGGAATGAGATCTTGCCATTTGCAACGACGTGGATGGAACTGGAGGGTGTTACGCTGAGTGAAATAAGTCAATCAGAGAAAGACGTGTATCATATGACCTCACTGATATGAGGAATTCTTTTTTTTTTAATAATTTTTTTATTGTTATGTTAACCACCATACATTACATCATTAGTTTTTGATGCAGTGTTCCATGATTCATTGTGCATAACACCCAGTGCTCCACGCAGAATGTGCCCTCTTTAATACCCATCACCAGGCCAACCCATCCCCCCACCCATATGAGGAATTCTTAATCTCAGGAAAGAAACTGAGGGTTGCTGGAGTGGTGGGGGTGGGAGGGAAGGGGTGGCTGGGTGATAGACATTGGGGAGAGTATGTGCTATGGTGAGTGCTGTGAATTGTGTAAGACTGTTGCTGTACCTCTGAAACAAATAATACATTATATGTTAAAAAAAAAAAAAGATGAAGATAGCAGGAGGGGAAGAATAAGGGGGGGGAATCGGAGGGGGAGACGAACCATGAGAGACTATGGACTCTGAGAAACAAACTGAGGGTTCTAGAGGGGATGGGGGAGGGAGGATGCGTTGGCTTGGTGATGGGTATTGAATAGGGCACATTCTGCATGGAGCACTGGGTGTTGTACCAAAGCGGTGAGTCATGGAACACTACATCAAAAACTAATGATGTAATATATGATGACTAACGTAACGTAACAATAAAAAAAAGAAGATAAGGAAAATAATCCAGCCTCCAAATAACGGGCAGTCTCCATCATATTTCACACACACACAGCACTTTGTTTTTAAGGCTATGTTGGTGAAATGTTTATTCAGATTACATCAAGCACTATTATTAATCCATTTCACGTAGCATCCCCTTATCTATGAAGTGCACTGCTTTGTAATACATGTAAATCAAAAAAGAATGAATTACATAGAATAAATATTTTTAACAACCATCTACTCTACAAAGGTTATATATTCTTTGCAATTCCTTTGTCTTTTTACAGCAAACCAGGTAGTGAGGAACCACTTTAAACCTAGATCTTCCTGATGAATTTTTAAGAAAATGATCCAGAAATGTGTACTTCGTTATCTTCTCTTTTCTTTCTTTATATGTATCCTACAGTAAACTCAGATATTAGAAATTTAGCTGTTTGCTGTACATAAGTACATGTTTTTGTACATGCAAGGCACCAAGGATGACAACCTACAGGCATGTGTGTGTGTGGTGATTTGTACACACACACTTTTTCTAGTTTTTTCTTCTCCCTCAAAAAAACAAGCTTCTCCTGCTAATATAAAGCAAATACAAATATTCTTAATTCTATAATACAGGAAATACAACCAATGAAGAATGTAACATTTTAGTGGTTTCAAAAGATAATTTAGGATTTAAAAAGGACCCTTCCACTCCAGATTGGGAAAGTTGTATGGATGCAACTACAGCAGGAGACTTTTGTTAAAAAACCACCTATAAAAAGTAAAGAAAATATGAAGGTTAATAGCTTTATGACCTTGAACCAGTCATGTATCCTCTCTGGGCCTCAGACTGCCCATTTTAAAATATGGAAGGTGACTGTTTTGCCTACTTTGTGGGGTAATTAGCAAAATAAGTAAGAGTATGCTTAAAGTAGTTTAAAAAATATTCTAAGTTGAATGAACTCTCTAAAGAAGTTTAATGATCATTTGATTAATATGACCCTGTTGATCAAGAATAAAAATGTTCACTATTTTAGACCTAATTAAATACTGAAAATGGACATAAGGAAAACAAACTAGTCAATGGCTATCCAGTATATTTAAAACTTCTCTTGAAGCTGTCATTGCTGCAATTAGGGAAAGCAGGAAGGAGTCCAGAAGCAGGTCCCAGCAACAATGTAGTCTAAAAGACCAGAATCTTGCTAGATAGTCAGCAAAGAACAAAATTAGTCATGGTATGAGCTCAACTTAGACCCTGGCCAGAAAGATTTTAAATTACTAATGTGTAACGAAAGGGCAATATTGTGAAGAAGTAGTCAATAATGTACCCCAGGGGACATTTGGTAATACTGTCTGGAGTCATTTTTGGCTGTCTGGGGGCAGAGGTGCTACTAAAATCTAGTGCATAGAAGACAGAGATGTTGTTGAACATCCTAGTGGGAATAGAACAGCCCCTCACAACAAAAAAATTAAAGTCCCAAATGCCAATAGTCCTGAGGTTAAGAAATCCTATTAAAAAGCCGTACTATCTAGAAAATAGAATTTGATGATAGCACCACTCATTCATTCATTCATTCAAGTATTTCCTGAGTACCCACCAAGGAAAGGTTCCGTAATGAGCTCTGTCCTAGGTGTTGAAGAGTCTAGAGTGGTTCAAAATAATCTGTGTGATTTATATAAATATTGATCATCTTTATAGCCTTAAAAGGAATCTCAGAAACAGTCAAGCAAGTTTACCAAGATATGGAATATTTATACCTTTTCTAAATACCAACCTCCAGGGCCTGCATTCGTTTTAACAGCATTTTATTTTCGTTGTTCTTAATCTTTTCTTCATAGAATTCCAGAAATGTTTTTTTGTAGACTAGTTTCATATTGTACTTCTTCGCCATTCTGTCCAAAACAGATTACTTAATGAAAACATTTCCAAAATATTTATAATTCCTCTAAAGTTTACTTTCACACAACAGTGACAATGTCTGGGCATCACCAAAAAAGCTATCATTATAAATTCACAACAGGATGATACAAAATGAATGAAGAGTAACATACCAATAATTACATCTATACATAACATGCATCCTAAATCTCAATGAGACACAGGAAACTCTATTACTGTAACAAATAGGTCAGGAAGTAAAATGAAAGGCTATGAGATGGGGATGAATAGCTATAAGGAACACTTTTCTATTAATTCCATTTTATTTAACTTGATCCCTCACAGTGGCATTAAAAACAGCTGCCATTCCTTCTTAAAATATTCTCTTTCATCTCTTGGGTTCTCTGGCAAGATACACTATTAATTTTTATACCATATCTTAGGCTGCTTCTTCAGTTTTACAAATTTCTTTTACCCAACTTCTAAATTTTAATATTCTGAAGAGTTCGGCCCAGAGCATTACTCATTTTCCCTTCCCTGACTTCACACAGCATGCCAACAGCTATCTGTAGCTCAGCCCTTTCATCACACTCATTTACTCCACTGCTAGAAATCTCCACCAGGATGTGTCACAAGTATTCTCTACCTTTCCAAATCAAGGCTGAACCCCACTAGATTGTTCTGCCAATCTTTGCTATTTCAGTAAACCTATCTAATGATTCATGCCAGAAACCTCAGAGTTCTCCATGCCACCATTCTCTTCCCAATGTTCCACACAACATTACGTCCTCTGTTTACCTAAAAATATTCTTCAAATGGTTCTTCTTAACTGTTCGTTGGCCACCATCTTGCTTTAATTACCACCACCACTCAGCTATACTACTTCGCTTGTTTCCCTACTTTCATTCTTACTCTCCCCTCAACGAATTTTCCAACTGCAGCCAGACTGAGCTTTCAAAAAATACATACATGTCACTTCCCTCATCTATACCTTTCACTGGCTTTCTAGCACACTTAATAGGACACAATTCAAAAGCCTTTTGCATGGCCTCTAATGAGGTCATCTATAAAGAAATGGTTCCTTGAACGCCTGGCTGGCTCAGTCCACACAACCATACAGCATGTGACTTGATCTCCAGGTCATGAGTTCAAGCCCCACATTGGGCATAGAGCTTAATAATAAAAAGTAATAATAAAATAATAATAATTCTAATAATGATAATAATAATGCTGCCTCATCTTGAGCCACTTGGGCCCTGATTCCTTACAACCCACACAATGGTTTTCCTTCAGCTCATTCACATATACTGCCCCTATACCTGGAACATTCTCCCTTCTAGTCTTCAACTGGCGAACTTCTTTTCATCCTTTAGATGTTGACTTAAACATCACTTCTTCACAGACGGATTCCTTAAATACTCAGTTATCTTAGGTCTCCCTGTTATACTTTTTTTTCTACTGCATTTGCCAAAGTTTATAGTATCTGTATCTGTTGACAACATAAGGGGGCTGGGGATAATCTCAGGTAGCAGGTAAAGGAGATGAAGGGAAAATAACTCTGAAAGGGTCGATGAGAAGGCTTATGAGGTGATAATGGGGAAAGGACAATGAAAAAGAATATATCTGAGAGCCACTGGGATATGTATGTAAGAGGCATATGTAAGGCAGTGCTCCCCATGATTTGAATTAGCCCTTCTTGGAAAGACAACATGAGTAGAGTCTCTTTTATTCTAGGCAGTTCATTTTCTACCATCTCCAAAATAAGCCTTCAGAAATAAAATCAAGTTTTACACCTGAGAAATACCATAATTACAAAGAACTAAGACTCAATTTGACCAATTTGAATAGGTTTGCCACATAAAAGCTAATTACGTATTTGCTCAGTTCCTTAATAAAAATGCAAAAGGGCATCTCAAAATCCTATGCATTTTCAGATCCTGTCTCATTGAATGTATAACTGTGTTAGTAAATAATTTAAAAAAAAATTTAGATATTATAGTGATGACTTGTAACTTTACACGTGCATCACCATCAAGCAAATTAAGTGGAAAAGATTGCTCGTGCTTCCTAGCATTTAAAAAAACTTTCATTATGGGGCACCTGAGTGGTTCAGTTGGTTAAATGTCCAACTCCTGATTTTGGCTCAGGTCATGATCTCAGGGTCCGCAATCAGCAGGGAACCTGCTTGAGATTCTCTCTCACTCTGCCCCTCCTCCCCACCATGGCCAAAAATAAATCTTAAAAAAAAGAAAAAACTTTCATTATATCCTTTATCTTTTGGGGCTTACTCAAATTACCAACTTTGTTAACCAAAAACACCAAGCTAACATACTAAAACATTTCATTTCTCCTTTTATAAAGGTGAAGAGCAGAAACATTTCATAAGTTTACTAATGTTAAGGGGAAAAAATGATTTAAATTTTTAAATTTTATAGTTTATTGTATAAAATTTTTATATATTGTAGAATCCTAAAAGTCTTTTATCAATAATTTTATAACCTGACTGAGGCACAATTCAAATAATCACAAACTCAAAATAAGCAGCAAATAAAGCTCTTCTCTTTCCTCAGTTAATAAAAGACTTAGGTTTAAAAGTAGGAAGTCAAGTCTGGTCAACTGGGACATGGCCTTATGACTCTTCCATTTTCCCTCTCAGGGAAACCCTAAGACCCAGGGGTCTCATAAGGCCTTGAAGCCTTATCTGATGAAGCCTGGTACCCCAACTTTCCCTGTGTCTGTAGTCTACTAGGACACCTAGAACCAGGTGCATGAGTGAATACATTCTTTTTGAATCAGGATTTTATTATCAACACTGCCTATGAGACACAGGCAAGTTCAAAGCTACAGTAAAATGTAAAACAACTTTTAATACCTATCCTCATCAAAGGAGGAGCTTTGCTTTATGAAGACTCACCTTACATTACCAAAGTTACTAACTGCTTAAAAAAAAAAAAACTTTCACTATTTGCAACGTCAGGTATTTTTTGCCACAAGATGAAGGCAACAGACTCCCTTTCTTACCTACAGGATAAAATAATTCCAGGGATGAAAGAAAACTAAATAAGCAAGGCTTTAAGAGGCTATGGCATAAACCTGAATTTGAGATTAGTCTTTTTTTTTCTTTTTACAAGGCTACACTTTTTCTTTGGGTTGCATTTAAAATAAGGAATGAGCAGAAATACTAATTTTTTTTCTTTATTTCTCTTAAAGCATAAAGAGAAGAGTAACAGATTAATGACATTCTTACTCATTTAGCAATGGAAAATAGACCAAGAATTCAGGGACATCCACAACACCTTCCAAGTTGAAGTCATATTTGCAGCCAAATAAAGGATAATCTCCTTTCTTCTGAAACTTCACAGTATATATCTCATTCCCAAATGATTCTGTTTCTGAAGCTTCAAGGCGTCTTCTATTAAAGGTTATCCCCAAACCAAAATAAAAAGATTAGTTATTAGCTCAGACTTATTCTGATCAGACTATGCATGTGAAAAAACTACAGGATGCAATTTTTAAAAGATACTGATCAGCTTTTTAACTGGATCTGAGCTACTTTTAAGAAGCAGCACATTAACAGATCATTAACAATCTCCCAACTAAAATTAGGCTGGAAATAGGTTTCACTATCATGACTACTGGCTAAGTCTTTGAGTATCTGATCTGGAGTTTGTGTAGCACTATAACCTCTGGCTGCATATAGCATCGGTCTCCAATTTACCAGTAAAAATGTTTTAAAGATTCATCTGTAAATCTATCTTTTGACCTTAAATGTTGAATATCTACTCAAATATATTATCAAAGTACCTCAGCCCTTATAAGATCAACATGACGTGTTTTATAAACTCTATTTCTGATAAACATTTGCTACTTTAAAATAAGCTTAATTCTGAGTATCTTATAAACCACAATATATTAAAAGCACTTACATCAGTTCAAAGCTATTGGGAGTGGTACCAATAAAATAGCCTCCAGGGCTCAGTCTCTCACAAGCATTTCTGAGCATCATGTCAGCTTGCTCATAGGATTCAAATGAATAATGACAGACAAACTGACAACTGCAGATGTCAAAGCACATTTCTGGGTCACGAAATTTGTTAATCAAAAGTTCCTGAAACAAAATTAAATATTAAAAAGGGTCAAGATTTTGAAGTTAACTGCAATATAAAAACTTTTTACTAAGTTAATTTCTAGAATTAGGGTCCTTAAAATAAAAGTAGACATGCCCTCCCAACCACCTATCCTTTCTCTCATTATGTATAATGAGGTCCACAATGAAATGATCTTTTCTTTCTGGTTCAACAGAATTTGATTTCCATTTTCACAGTAATTTAAAAACTAGGATGAAATCATGTTTCAAAATCTATCAACCAAATATGACATTTAAGAGTTGATGCTTTTATTTGGCTTTACTTCAAAGCTAAAGTAAAATGTTGTCGAACAATAACTTTGATTAAAACAAAACACAAAGCTGGCCTTTGGGACACTTTTTAAAAGTGCAAAAGTGTTTTTAAAGGTTTCCAACATTCTAGCAGTATACTACCACTTTTCCGCCTCACTTTCACAACTACAAACAAAATGCGTAGGATTAAAGATATCCCTAATAGTTTAACGAGTTAATGAGTCAGACAGAGCATTAAAATTTAAGGTGAGATTTTCATTATTAAGTGCCTCCGTAGTTCTTACACTTCATAGTTGTTAAGAAATTCAGAAACAAGTGGAAAATTCAAAACATCAAATCCTAATAAATTACAAGGTAAACAAAATGTAAATTCAGTTCTATTTTAAAACACTGGAAAATAAATCTTGTCTGAACAGAAAAGCAACAAATGATTTATAAAGTTCAAATTATTAAAAACAAAAAACTCCCAGAAGTACTCAGTGGGTCATTTAAGGAAATTTATCAATAGAATTTCTAGCTGAAACTGAAAGTGCATGTCCTGAGGTTTTTAGTCTTTCAAAGTACATTTTAAAAGAACTAACTGCTTTTTTAAAACGCATTATTCACCCGAACTAAAAATATTAAACATAAATTGACAAACTGAAAAAAATTCTGTACCTTTGAACAATCAGCAGTTACAAATTCCGCATTGAAAATATATTCGTTATCACGACAACGATTTTTCATGTCCTCATACCGTTGCTGACACTGTTTGACAGAAACATCAGCAATATCTGCAAGGGGGACAGGAGTTAGTAACTGGCGACAAAGACCCACAGAGATAAAATGTAAATGCAAAGATGGCTCAAATCTAGACAATAATCCTAACTGATACACTTTAGCATGAAATCTATCCTTAGTAAAAGCAAAAAGGTTCTATTTCCTTCAAAAGAAAGTATCTGTTCCAATGCAAATGCTGTGTTATTTTTCAAAAGGATTAAAAGCTTTCTCAATAGGCACTGATAACAGAAAAGTTCTATCATGATTTTTAAATGCTTATTCCAAGTTAAAAGCAGAAAGTTTAGACTCCAATTTGAATTATAAAACTTAAACTATATGCCCAACTTTGAAAATATCAAGTTTATTTTTTCTTAATAAAAAGTTATTTGCTTTTTCCTGTGTTGAGATTTGCAACGATGGTACAAAAGCAATGGAAACTAAAACTGGCACCTTATCATGAATACAAGGTAGTAGTGCACCAAATGATACAGGTAATACTTGGTATCTTCTTCACCATTATAAACTAGCATGGGAAAAAAAAAAAAGAACCCAATTTCATTTAAAAGTGTTCTTGATAAAGCAGTAAAACTTGATTTTAGTAAATCTTGGCTCTTTTTCAATATTCTGTGTAATGAAATGGGAAGTAACAGAACATCTGTGCTACCTAACAAAGTCTAAATAGGACTGGTGTGACTGTGCTGTGAGCTGTACTAGCCACTTTTTTTCACAGACAACTGTTTTCACTTGAAAGAACAACTGAGAAACTGGTTATTTAGACTTTGTAATTTGGCAGACATTTTCTTGAAAATGAACAAAGTGAGCCTCTCACTTAAAGAAAAATAAAAGACAGTATTTGTTACCAATGATAAAACTTGAGATTTCCAGTGAGAATTATAATTTGAAACACTTGCATCTACCACCATGGGCTGGGCATCTTCCCAATACTTAAAACTTTTCTGATTGGTGGGAACATTAAAAAAATGTGATTTCTTGATGTCAACGTTTAGAAGATCTGCATAACTTTAGTGAGAGTTATTTTCCAAATATTACAAAATCTTGCAGGACAAAAGATCCATTCAAAGCACAAGACAGATCAATGGATTTAAATATAACAGAATATAAAAATTTCACTGACACAGATTCAGATGCCACACTGTAACTACCACCTTTAAGGAACTACCACCTGTTGTGTTTGGATACAGTATGAAAGATGAATCTGCTCAATTATCCGAAAGGACTGTTAAAATAGACCTTCATTTTAAAACTACTCATCAAATAACACATCGCAACACAGTGAATGCAGACACAGGTGTGAAAACCCAGTTGTCTCCTATTATTCCATACTCTAAAGGTATTTGGAAAAATATTTTTAAAGTGCCAGTCTTCTCACTAAACTTTATTTTTTAATGAATAAAAATATTTTTTTAGTTCTCAATTTTAATTTCTATAATCAATAGCTATAGCCACATACACAATAGCTTTCTGTGATCCTCAATCTTAAAAATAAGGGTATATAGTGTTCATAAAACCAAGAAATTTGAGAAGTGCTAATTTAGGTAACTCACAGGTGGTGCTATGCACTTCACCTCACTGGAAGAATATAACATCTGCTTGTCCCACTTTAGTGTTAAGGCTGACTGACCAGTGGGTTCAGGTGCTTGATTCATTCAGTTATTAAATTCCTATCAACCTTTCTCACCTAATAGTTTCAGCAACTTTTTATGATTGTTGCTTAGATCTATTATTTCATCACGGGTGAAAAATAGTGATTTTCATATTCCTACTGCACTTACTCATTTTGATTTTTTAATAGAGTGGAATTTCCCTTTTCAACCATTTGGTCACCTTGAAGTACAGTTCACATAGGGTAAGGAAGATACCCCAACCCTTAATTTATGAATTTCAGAATGATGAGTAAGTTTCCTAGCAACCTCCAAGGGTGAACAATGAGTTTTTTTCCTTTATTTGCTATGTTTCAATCCACTGAAATCACTATTCTTTTTCATAATGAAACTGTCCTATCTTTGGCCAGTGGAAGTTTCAAGTTTGTGCTTTAGACATGACCCCATCTTTGATTACTTCCTTCCTTTTAGGGAGGACAGGTTATCGCAGGTTACACAATATAGTTAATATAATTAACTATATTGTGTAACACCATCAGTAAAGTCTCAAAACTCATTTAAAAAAACACAAATCTCACACATAGCCCCAGATACCTTCTTATATTTTAGTGTCACATGATACTGAGATTCTGTTTATTTTCCAATTACCTGACTGATCACAAATTATTCTTGCCCATGTCATTATTTATCTTACCTGTACAAACTAGCTTGTTAATTCTTCCCTTTTTCCACTTGAGCAAATCTCCACCTTTACCACATCCCAGGTCCAAAACAGTGATATCACATTTTTTTTTCTGTCGTACCTTTTCTAAAAATTCCCCTAAAAGAGAGAAATATAATAAAAAATTACTATTTCTCCATTTTTACTATAGCATAAACTGTTATACCTAATAACCTACTGACACCTGACACTTCCTATAAACTATTACATGTTCATTTATGTAGTTAATTCATAACTTTTGGTGAACATTTCAAAATATGACTAAGAGTTAGTTGACCTGATCCTCTAACATTATAAATTAAAGAGTGTATGTCTGATATTTTAGAAAGTTCAGACAGGTTTTTGAAGGTTACTTTTAGAACTTGACTCAACACTGAATAGCAGACATTTTAAATTCTAATTAATACAAGAAGATTCAACGCTTGTTCATAAGAAAAAAAATTACTCATAATTTTTGTAGTTTTCTCTTTCTAAAAACTAAACATTTAGTTTATAATATACCTAACTAAATCAAAATGATATGGGATCATAAGATTGCTTGACTTTTATAAAACATGTCAGGCTTACCACCAAAACCAATACAAGAACTAGTCCAAAAAATATACATACCTCTTAATTTTACTGTGACCAAAATTCTTAAACACTCTAAAATAAAAAATGAAATCTTTCATCCCAATCTAACAATCACATTAATAACCAACGAATAGTATCATAGGACCCCATACATCAATAGCCAAATGGTTCAAATATTAGCTAAAGGCATATTAGTATTCTTAGACAATTGAAGTATTCAGCAATTCTAAAACCTGATACAATACTGAATCGTAGATCTACTCTTCCCGTCTTTATTACTATGAGTTTAACACTTCCTATTTCATATGTGTACTATTTTGACTGCTAAAATATTCACGGTGAGCCTGGGTGGCTCAGTTAAGTTAAATGTTTGCCTTTGGCTCAGGTCATGACCTTGGGGTCTTGGGATCCAGACCTGTGTCGAGCTTCCTGCTTAGCGGGAAGTCTGTTTCTCCCTCTCCCTCTGCTCTGCACCCCCGCCCCCACTCATGCTTTCTCTCTTAAAATAAAAAACACAATTCTGTATGAATATTTCTGCCTTTCACTGTCCATAGGATCTTAAAGTAATTTCAACAGAAGCACAAGTGTTCTATATTTAACATTCTGTTATAAATCTTAAAAAAAAAAAAACCCAGCATAACCGGAGTGCCCGGGTGGCTCAGTTGGTTAAGTGGCCAACTCTTGATTTCGGCTCAGGTCATAATCTAGGGTCCTAGAATCGAGCCTCACGTCAGTCTCCATGCTCAGTGGGGGAATCTCTTGAGGATTCTCTCGCCCTCTGCCCCTCCCCCACCCATGTGAGCGCACACGCATGTACTCTCTTTCTAAAATAAATAAATCTTAAAAAAAAACAAAAAACAGCATAACAAATAATATGGAGTAAAAAAACATTGTAAAATCTCTTTCCACACAGGAAGACTAGTAAGAGGGAAAATCATGAAACATTACTCAAAGAAAGATATCTTTATCACATTCAAGAATAGTACTCAAGTAGTTACTAAGCTGTAAGTACCAACAAGAAAGAGAAAATGAATGACAAAGAATGGGCACTGAGAAGAGAAAGGGAAAAAAAGCCAGAGAGGGAAGCTGGCACAGACCACACCGACTACACAAGGACCAGAAAGACAGGTGCAGATAGCAAAGCACCCAATAAGAGAGTTGCTGGAACAGCTGAAGGAGGAAAGAATAGCACAAATATGTGGAGAGAAAAATTTTTTGCTAAGTCTGACTTAAGACTTTTTAAAAATGACCTGTTACCCTGATTATAAAAATAATACAACTAATGATGTGAAAAATATGGTTGAACTTAAAATATTTATTCAATGAATAAACACATGAATAAATGACCCATCAGAAAAAATACCCTAGGGGCGCCTGGGTGGCTCAGTCGTTAGGTGTCTGCCTTCGGCTCGGGTCGTGGTCCCGGGGTCCTGGGGTCGAGCCCCGCATCGGGCTCCCCGCTCGGCGGGGGGCCTGCTTCTCCCTCTCCCACTCCCCCTGCTTGTGTTCCCTCTCTCGCTGTGTCTCTCTCTGTCAAATAAATAAAAAAAAAAAGAAAAAATACCCTAGAAGTTATCTATATTACTGAGGATGATGAGAAAAACAAAAAGAAATTAGGACTAGGGTCCATAGATTACCTTAAAAGTATAGACTAAAAATGCCATAATACTAACCTTAAAAATAAAAGGGGAGGGGTTGACAAGCCAACATTCAATTACCCTAGCTGAAAACTAGCAGAGACAAATAAATCATATTTCTGTAATAAAACATGAATATTAAAAAGTGAGACAGAAAATATTAATATGTGTTCGAAATAATGAGCCTAGTTCCCATTCCCAATACTATTCAGAATGAATAATGTATCTTTAAAAATTAGTCAATTATTGGGGCGCCTGGGTGGCTCAGTCAATTAGGCAACCAACTCGATTTCGGCTCAGGTCATGGTCTCAGGGTTGAGGGATCGAGCCCTGTGTGAGGCTCTGCACTCAGCAGGGAGTCTGCTTGAGATTCTCTCTCCCTCTGCCTCTCCCATTTGTGCTCTCTTCTCTTACTCTTGCTCTAAAATAAATAAATAAATCTTTAAAAAAAAAGGTAAATTATTAGGGCACTTGGCTGGCTCAGTCTGCAGAGCATGTGACTCTTCATTTCGGGGTTTTAAGTTCAAGCCCTATGTTGGGTGTAGAGATTATTTTTAAAAAATCTTTAAAAAAAATAAGTAAAATAAAAATTAGTAAATTATCATCAAAACTAGCAGAAAGTACCCATAACTAGCACTTTATTCTTTCTAGTGTAATCACAAAAGCATTCTCACTTTTTCTGAGGCTGACTTTTAAAAAAACAAAACAACCCAAAATCTTACTGTGAAAAACTTCAAAACCCGCTGGCTTTTAAAAATTCTCTAAACTCGGGATGCCTGGGTGGCTCAGTCGTCAAGCATTCGCCTTCTGCTCAGGTCCCACAAGGGGCTCCATGCTCAGTGAGGAGCCTGTTTCTCCCTCTGCCTGCCGCTCCCCCTGCTTGTGCTCTTTCTCTCTCTGACAAATAAATCAAATCTAAAAAATAAAAAAGAAAAATTCTCTAAACTCACATAAGGAATCCAACTACTTAATATACTAGATATACAGAGCAATAAATATATTCTGAATCATATTTCCACCATTGACTTCCATTTTAATTTTAAAGATGAGTTTCCATAAATAAAATGTTGGCTCCAAAAAGTTGAATGTCTTCATCAAGCCTCAACGTAAACTTTTATTTCTCCCTAGACACTTTACAAGAAAAACAAGTTCAATGAAAAATCACCACATGACCTTCTGCCTCATTAAAGGCCTAGAGATGAAAAATCATGACACTGCCCATTTTCTTGACTTAATAGAAGCTGAATACTTAATCCAACATTATGTCACTGTTCCAAAACTATTAGAGTAAAATAGATTACTTAATAGCACTAGATAATCTTAAGTATAAAAGGAGCATACCGCCTTTTTTTTTTTTAAAGATTTTATTTATTTATTCATAAGAGAGAGAGAGAGAGAGAGAGGCAGAGGGAGAAGCAGGCTCCCCGCTGAGTAGGGAGCCCGATGTGGGACTCGATCCCAGGATCCTGGGATCATGACCTGAGCCGAAGGCAGATGCTTAACCAACTGAGCCACCCAGGCACCCGAGCATACTGCCTTTTGCAAGCCTAATTAACTTATGAACTTAATATCAATTAAACTCTCATAAATACCTTATGTAGTCCAAAAGTAAATATGAAAAGAATCATCTCAAAGGTCTAGTTTTAATTTTTGCTCCAGTTTTACGAAGTCAAGACTTGATAATTTTAAAGACTTAATAGTTTAACATATGAATAATCATTTGGGGGAAAAAAAAAGAAACATAAGCTGAAATAGAAAACTCCAAACTATAAATCAAAAATCAATCAATCATACCAATGAGGACGCTTTTCATCCAATTATTAAAGTTTCTTAGGTAAAAAATACGACTCTGGCTACGTTTCTCCAAACCAACTTCTTGTAGTTCATTATAGTGGGCAGCCACTGCTGAACTATGTCCCTCTTCTAAGTTCTGAAAATAAGAGAATGGAACAAAATTAAGGTTCAGAACATGGCAAAAATAAGCCTAAAAGAGCATCTGACCTATATAAGGATAAAATACTAATGAAATTGGTAAACTTCAATAAGCAATGGCATTGATGACAGAAATCCTACTAATTATAATCACACGTAAGATTTGTTCTCCCCTGTTCCCTATTTTTAAAAACATCTCTTGGTTTAAAATTTTCATCTCGATCTTTCGTCTGTATAATTTTGGTGTCAATGTCTTAATAAAACCAGTACTCTTCCAGAGTTCTGATTTATTCAATTCAATAAATGTCAATCAGTGCATTGGGTTCCTACAAGAAAATAAAATAGGAATAAGTTATATTATTATAAAAAATTGATGTAAGCACTAAATGAGAAAACACACACAAAGGAATGAGAGCTCATTAAGGTACGTTCAGGGTCAATGTTTTTTGTTGTTTTTCTTTTAATCTATTCCAACAGTTTCCATTTGTGCTACCTACCTAAGACACCAAGCATTCTGCAAAAATGCCACGGTAAGTAAAGGGCTTCAAATTCCCACACTTATCTGTTCAACTGAAGTGCTTCGTCATTTACCCATCTTACTTATCAGGTTTAATATTTTTACTTGGAAAAAAGGGTTCTGCTGCTAGTAAAGTTTGAAACTGTGTGTCTAATACAAGCTCCTCTCTGTTACAAGGATTCACACCCTACCAATGACAAAGGCCTGGCCTAACCCTTTACTCTTTAGGACTGATGCCAGAATTTTTACTCATTCACTTAAGTACTCCTTCCATCCAAATTCATATTCTGCCTCAGATTCCTTCATAATATGGTATTGCCAGATGAAAATAACTTGCTGTTCCTTGTTCTATACTCTCCATCCTAAATATCAGGCTTAAAATTGTATGTAACTACCCCAATGAGAAGCTGGAAACAATATAGTTAAAAGAATCACATTAAAGCTGGGTGTAATGTTGAAATTTATCTTTGAAATCATAATCTCTATTATTTCTGACACAAGAAAGTGATGAACACTAATAAAAAGGAAAAAAAGTATATCAACTGGAACTTACACTTGTTTTTAAAACACTGAAGAAAAGCAAACTATAAAAACTAGCTTTCAAGTTTCTAGTCAAATAAGAGTTCTTAAAAAAAATTATCTCGATTAGAAGTTTCACCTAAATAAAAGCAACTAAATTGCAAGAGTTAAAAGCCTACTCTATCTTAAGACATTATCTATTACAAATAGAACATTCTTAAGGTTTAAGATTACGTAAAAAACATTATTTCACAACCGCTCCACCTTTCAGTGACATATCCCATTAGGAATAAAAAAAATACATTCAACATACTTTTTGCTTTTCAGGAACATCTTCAAGTTCTATTTTTCTCTTTTTCTGTGTGCCATCTCCAGTAGAAGGTTCATCTTTTGGAAAATCATCAGTTTCCATTCTTCTTTTCCTTGAAATGCCTTCATCATCACCAGAACCTTTTTCCTCTGAGACAATTTCAGCATCAAGTTTTCTTTTCTTGGTTGGAGTATCTTCCCCACAACTAGAACTTTCCTTTATAAGATCATCTTCAAATTCCATTTTTCTCTTTTTTGGTGTGTCTACTTGTCCAAGGATAGGAGCCTTTTCAGAAAGCCCAGTCCCAGGAGTGGTTGTGTTTTCATTAATACTGAATGAAGACTCTGTTTCCAAATCTATTGATGCTTTTGCCTCTTCAAGAGAGATCTTTTCACACTCCTCTGCTTTTGCAGAATTTTCCATTTTTTGATTAGTTAAATAGATGGTAAAACTTCATGAACTAACACTGGAATGGCAAAAATTTGATGTGACTTGTAAACACTAATGCTGAAACTTCAAAACAATTTTAACCAGACCTAGCCATTTAATTTCAGTAATCAACTAGGAGTTTAAAAAAATCTCATTATAGAGAGAACACTGAAAACATTAACTGACATACATTACAGATGAATCTCTGAATATGTTAATATGGAAGTACTAATTATAATCCCTAAACACACATAAAGATCCTATCCATAAAAGTCATTACTGGCATTGAAACTGACAGATGAGTTGGGGGGGGTGGAAAGGTATTACACTAGCACTAGTTCCATTTCTATTCTGACCTTTACTTTATAGCCTTGCAGCCCCAAGCTATAATTTTATAGCCCCAAATTGTGAGCTGGACACTATAACAAACTTGTACAGACACAGCAAGCTTTTTTTAAAATTTTAAGGGAAACCCTGATATCTGACATCTGGAAGATATCACAAATACAGCTTCAAATAGAGCACAGTTTCAACTGAGTAGATTACACTACAATCCTTTCAATGATACCAGAACTTTACAAAGCTGAGATTTTGGTGGCACCACATGAAATCAGTGTGAAACAGGAAGTGAAGTTGGCAATGTCAAATCTGATTTCAAAGCTTGAGAAATTGTACAGTACCCAACAGATGTACACATCCCATTAGCAAGCACTCATGGTTAACTAAGAATTAAACACTAACATTATTTTTTCCTTTCAATTTGTGTATTATTTTTAAATAAAGTTATTAAGACATAAATACTAAATTCTTTGGACTAAACTATTTACTAAGTGGAACCTGTTGGGTATTTCTTCTGACCTAATGATGCTTGAAAAAAAAAATTCAGAGACTAAGGGCACCAAGAACAGGAAAAGTCTGGGAACCTACAGTTAACTTCTGGAATCTTTATTTCATAATGGGTGCCAGAATTAGAAAGTGAGGACAGTAGACAGCTTTGGACAAGAAGTTTCAAGACCCAGTCTGCAACTTAATGACTATTAAGTCTCCTTCAAATGTTCATAGGCCTATGTGTAAAACGGAAGGGAGAGAGAAATAAGTGAACTATGGGACAGGAGCTTATTAAGTCGTTTGACAATTTTACTATACTCCTACTACAGAGGATCTCAATAAGGCACTATGTGGTTAGTCTTCAAGAAGCTTACAATCTATATACCACTTCTAAAACGTTAGGCTGTATTAGTCAAACCAAATGGAGAAGGGAGAGCAAAAGTCCAAAAATTGGTGAGATTCAGCAAATTCAAAACCTGAAACTTATGAAGAGGTGGGGGGAAAGTCTTTTGAGTGAAGAAATAGAATAAGAAATAAAGTTGCTTAAGGGAATGGGTAAAAACAAGTCACTATAAACCAGGAAGGATTTCAAGGGATATTAGCTTTCACTACCCAAGGTGTAGGTAACAAAAACCAAGACATGCCAAACTAGGAAGAACTGAATCAGAGGCGGGGGGAAAAAAAACCACCCAGAAATGTAATTTTCAGAATAACAATTTAAAATGATTATGTAATAATACTGGCCACCGAATTATCAAATGTCTGGACAACTCTATTACCACAGATGGGATGTCATAAAAAACAATCGATTCGGTCAGAATAAATCTCACAGAATTTCAAAGGACCGCAGAAATGGGTAACAAGGGATAAAAACTGGGCATCAAAGTGCAAAAATGAAGAACTCCAAACTAAAGAGAGTTGCCCCTCAGAATCCTCGAGGAAGGAGCTTAGGGTAATGATTAAACTGACACAGAGATGGTAATACATTAAATATCCAAATAGGCATTTCGACCTGGCTTTCCAGTCACACCTCTGAGGCAGGCCCCGTCTCCATTTCAGTTTCTCAAAGAACGACCGAGCCCCTAGGACCCCCAGGCTTAACCTCAAGCAGGATAACCTCTACACCCTGACCCGCCAGCTAAACGGGGGTCAACTCGGGAGGCCTAAGAGAACGCAACAGAGGCGAAAAGGGAAATCTTCAGCCAAGATCACCCTCTTCCGTCATTGGAGCGGCCTAGCTCTTACTAAACCTCCGGCTCACGTTTCCGATCCGCCACTCAAGACTCAAGACAACACAGACGCTTCTTCGGATCCGACAATCCCTCCCCCAGCCTGTCTTCTCGGCACCGCTGAGGTTCGGCCTGAGACAGCTCTTAGGGCTGCTCCAGACTCCGGCTCCCTCGGTCTGAATGAGCAACAGAGCCCGCCGGCTCCCACAAGTACTGCCCACTTTGCTTCGGGTTGAGTGCACAATAAACCTCGACCGACCGGTACTGAAGGAACAGGACTAGCACGAAGTGAGCCCATGATAGGAGCTGGAGTGCCCCTTCTATCGCGACGGCGACGGAGAGGCTAAAAACAAAGAATGGCCAGAGTTCCAGACACCACACTTACCTACACAGCCATCCACGGTTCTGTTTGCGGAAGCGGCGGTCGGCGCCACGCGTGTGTTGTTACGCCACTTCCGGGGAGAAGACGGGTCACGTGACTCCACTCTCGGCTGCGATTGGAGGGTCTCTCGACCTTCGCGCCGGAACTACGAGTCCCGTCGTGCTGCGCGCTGGGGGCCTGCTGAGGGACGCGCGGAGTCGCACGGGCAGTGGCAAGCACGTTGTTAGTGGGCGCGGCTGGCGGGCCCGGGGATGCCGGCGGTGGCGGGGGTCAGCGAGCGTTCGCCTGAGCCCCGTGAGTTCCGGCACCCTGACCCACGCTTGATCAGGTCACTCTGCTGAGTGAGCATCAGAAGAGCTGTCTTTCGGCCTGTGCGGCGAGAAACGGCGTGGCCTCAATTTCCTAAGAGGTAGCGAAGGCCCAAGACCTCTAAGGAACTGCGCGGGGGGGAGGGGGGGGAGGGGTCGAGAGGGCACCTTCAACCCGGTGCACGTTGGGGAGCAGAACCAGGGCGCGAACCCGACACATGCCCCGCGCCCACCGCTGCTCAGGCTACGCCGGGGAATCCGTCTGCGGGACCGGGCTTCTCCACACTCGCCCGCCCGCCACCCCTGGCAGCCGAAAGAGGTCACCCCCGCCCTTCTCTGGCAGGCCTGTGGCTCGGCAAATACTGTTTGGGGGACTGTTTTTCAGCTTTCTGCTTTGTAACCCTTCACCCTCTGCTCTTCCCTACGTCAGAAGATGGCTGAGGAGGGTCCTGGGAGCCCCCGGCCTGGGAGCTGTTTTAAAATTGAGCAACATCTTACTTCTTAGGAACTGGCAGGTCATTCTTTATTGCTGTATTTGGGAATCCCTGCCCTACCTCCCTTCAAGAAGGCCATTTTCATCTATCAGATTCTGGAGAGAGGGGGCAGCCCATCACTATTCTTGAGAAACGCTATAGTATTATTATTCTGTGTTGGCTGGACTTTGGTATGGGATGGTTGGGGGAGAAAACGCACTTTGTCCATCCCCTCAGATTTCCACTAGAGAGTCCAAGGCATTTACTGTACTGAAACTCGGAAGCTCCATAGTTCAGGCCTTTCATCCCGAGACATAGGGTCAGAACTGTAACTGTGAACTAAGGTTATTGATGCGTGTGTATTTTAACGTTGTTGTGCCTCAGCGCCTCTCCACCTTCATGGCGTAAAAACAGCGAGATTAGATTTACAGTTCATTTTGAATTCTTTACCAAAATTGATCCCATTAAAAGCAGTATTGAAAACGTGTTTCACTGGCCTTCCTACTTCTCAATAGGTAGTTATATTAATGAGACTTCGCGTTGGAAATGGCAACATTTGCAGCCTGTAGTTTACAATCAAGTCACTTCCAAATTGTGGGAATTAACCTTTCTGAGGTTCTTGACCCTTTATAACTTTGGACCAAGAACGAGGCTATTTTTAACAAATGAGGATGAGCCATCAATTTCAGATGACTGTGCCTGTACTTTTTATTAAATGCAAAGAGCTGTGTTGAGAATTAATTTCTGTTCATGAATATTGACAACTGCAAAGGTATAGGTCCTAGAGATTGAATGTACTATATACATATATATCCACTAGAACTAAGCAATGACAGCACATATTTGCTGGTTCTGATGCTAAAGTTTCTTGAGATAATTCCTGTGGTAATTTTAGGAAAAATGAATCTAATTTTGACTTTTTAAGAAATTTTTTTCATTAAAAGCTTCTTAACTATGTGTTTATATAAACTCCACCATGAATTAATATCATGCATGAGATGTATAGAGATCACATCTTACGATTTTTATCAAACTTAACTGAAAGTCATGCAATTTGAGTTGAGAATAGAAGAACTCTTGAATGTAGTAGTAGTGGAAGGAGTGAATGGGCCAGATAAAATTGTTTTAAAATTACTGTTGATGTTATTTTTCCCTATTCCTTGAGTAATATCTGGTTTTCTGAAAATTGAATTAAAATAATAGCAAATATTTTGATACCTTCTGTGTGCCAGACTAAGTGCTTTACATATTGGAACTCATTTAATTCTTACGTAATCCAGTGGGGTCGTTGCTATTATTATTATTACTATTATTATTGTTATTATTTTATAGATGAGGGGTAAGTAACTTGGCCAAAGTCAAGCAGCTGGGAAGCAGTGAATGAGGATTTGGACCAAGGCAGGCTGGCTCCAGAGACCAGACTCTATGCCAATAATGAAATAGTGCCTGCTGGAAGACAAGCCTCAGAACTGGAAGTTGGCTGCCATATAATAGATTTTCAGAAAATTTCTTGATACTTCCTGATGCTTGGGTTATTATGTTCAGAGAGAAAATAACTCGATAAAGATGATACCGTGCTAGAATGTGAGTTCCAACAAGGCAAGGATCATCATTTTGTTCAGTGAGTGCCTTGAACAGTGGCTGGGATACCTGGGTGCTTACTGAATGAATGAATTGCCAAGAAAAGTTTTAAAAGTTCTTTTTTTTTTTTTAAAGGACATAGAGAATTTATTCCAATCCATTTATAAGATTTCTTTATGCACTGTTTTCATTATATGGCTCATTATTCACCCAGCCTGCTTTGGATTCTCCTTTTGTCAGTGAGAGAAAATGGAGTAGTAACTTGCAAGTTTTCTAGTTAAAGTAAAGGTAAGCAACAGAATCAGTAGACATCATCCCTCTTTTAAAGTCATTAGTTTCCAAAGTGACAGCACTCAGAAGTGTAATTTTAAAGTGTGATTTCTGTTGTGCAGTTGAAGATCACATTTTTTAAACATAAAAATTTTTTAAATGTAGATACAATCTTATAGCTTCCTAAGCATGATGGTATTTTTGGAGGTAGGAGAGGTGGTTTATGGAAGGTTTGTATCTCCAGTCTTGGAGGAAGGACTGTTTATCCAGTCCACTCACCAAAGTGGTCCTACTGGAATTTTACTGCCTTTTTGGAGCACATAGGTATTCTTGGTCAAAAAGTTTTTGGTATAGTTGAAAGTAAGATTTATTTGAGAAATCTAACTTCATTATGTGTGATGGTTAGTTTTATATGTCAACTTGACTAGGCTATACTACGTAGCTATTTAACAAACACTAATCTAGGTGTTGTGATGGTGTTAGAAGATGTGGTTAACATCTGCAATCAGTTTGCTTTAAGTAATGGAGATTACCCTCAATAATGTGAGTGGGCCTCATCCAATCAATTGAAGGCCTGAATTTTAAACTGAAGTGTCTCAAGAAGAAAAAATTCTTCCTCAAGCCTATAGCGTTGATTTCTGCCAGTTTCTAACCTGCAAATCTGCCCTACACGTTTATGAGTTGCTGGCCCCCACGATTTTGTGAGCCAATTCCTTAAAATAAATCTATCTATTTAGATAAGTAATCAAATAATAGTTTTCTAATACATAGAAATAAATATCCATTTACCTAAATATAGATCAACCTAAAGACAGATAGAGATATATGTATATATTTTTTCCTGTTGGTTTTGTATCTCTGAAGAAACTTGTCTGATTCAGAGTTTGGTGCTCAGAGTAGTTCTAGAGGAACAGATTCTTAAAGATTAGTTTTCTGAATTGGTTATGGTGTTCTTGGACTGGTTCCCTAATCAGATTAGATTTAAAGGCACTAATTAATGACTATTTCCAGTGGTGAAAAGGGCACTGATAGCCCATGATATGATGTGGCAATAGAGATATGCAAAATGCAGAACATTACCATCTTATGCCAAGTATTTATAAAAGATAAGGTTCTTGATGGGATGATCACATATTTGATGACTTAAAACATTTTGTCGAATTAACAAGTGTAATGAGTGACTGGTTGCTGACTGCTTGCTGCTAACTATGCTGGAGAAAGGGGGAAGAAAAGGATGAACTCAGGTCTTCAGATTCCCAGCTCAAGCTCTGCGTAAATAACCTGAAAGTCTTTATGTCTGCCCTAAAGAAACTCATCTCCTGTAGATGCAGAGCTGAGATTGCTGAAAACCAAACCCAGAGTCTCATCCTGCAGAATGGTTGAATTACAATGCAAAATGAATTCCCCATCTAACAGAGTATCTCCTGTTAAAATAAGGACATTGATTGAGAAGGAATGCAAACCTCAAATTTGGAATGGGGTACGGAGCCCCTAAATTTTTTTAAATTTTATTATGTTATGTTAATCACCATACATTACATCATTCGTTTTTGATGTAGTGTTCCATGATTCATTGTTTGTGTATAACACCCAGTGCTCCATGCAGAA